GTAGAGCAAACATTTTTCTACAAAATTAGATGTTTTACAGCTCTGAGAGAATCGTGATAACTGATTTATAGCAATTCTCCCGGATGCCCCAAAAGGTCTTCCGGCCAGACTGATCATCGCCATATGCATATATCTTTTAACTATGCTAAATCTCGTAAGCATGTGTAACATATTCTGCGGCATAATATTCATACAATATTTTAATGAAAAAGCAATATTTGATCGTAGAAGCAACACATACTCTAACTTGGTAATTATAAGGAGTTTAGTAAACATGCAAAACATACATGCCAATGCATGGGTTCACCATATTCCTTATAGTTCGTAAGTTAGAATAAGTGTTGCGTCTGTAATAAAATATTGCTTTTTTAGCAAAATACTCTGTACATAATATACCGAAGAGTATACCGCACATGTCTATCGAAAATATTGATTTAGTATTAGCACAGGCGAAAACCTACAACACAAATTATCTTTTTCTTGAGAAATAACTTCTCTAGAAAAAAGCTTTGAAACTTGTTTCTCGTTATTCTCAAAATCGAGTTTCATCATCGGTTTTCAGCGTTTAAAAAATTTCTTCTGCTCTTTGATTCCGCAAAGTTCGGGATGGCTTTGTAGAAGAAAGTTTTGGTTGGAACGTCACATTTTTGGTTTTCATTTCATGATGTAAGAAAAATAAGATTTTTCGTAGTTTTGAAATAATATCATTACTTTAACAGGAAAAGTCGAAAAGAAAGTTTTAAAGATCAGGCTCTGAGGCGAGTTTTCTTTACAAAATAAAACCATTCCGAACTTTGTAGCATTAAAGAGAAATGAAAAATTTTTAAAACACTAGGAACGACATTTTGTTGTGTCCCTAACTCTCAGATCCTACGAGGTAAAAACTCGAAATTATCTACTGTAACACTCGCTCAACTTCCGCTACAAGTTTCATTAAAATCCGATTCAATCTGACGAAAATAAATATTTGACAGGATGACCGTTAAATTCTTCTACGGTTGTCCCACATTAGAACAAATTATGATTAATAATCCGTTTGTTCTTTCCAGCGTATCCATTTTATCGTTCTTTTCCCTCAATTTTTTTTCCTACACACTGCGGTGTATGAATGTTTATTTGATGAAAAGAAACATTTTTTTCCTATTTTATTATATACTCGTCATCAGATGATGATAAACACGTAAAGGATTTATAGGTAGGAGGAGAAAGCATTTTTTGCGTGATTCGATTCAACGATTTGCAGAAAAATAATAAGAATATTCACTAAAATGATCAAGTGCGTATATCATCTATTCGTTGATCAATAAAACAAATAACGTACATATTATGTATGATAAAAATAATATCAACAGTTTTTAAAATATTTTGATTAAAAAATATCAAATAAAAACGGGATGAGAAGTAAGAATTTGTCCACTTATTCACGAAGGAAATGACAACGGAATATTTTTTGTATCTAACGAATTATGTACAATTAGTTAAATAAAATATTTTTATAGAAATTTAAGTGCTATCAATATGATATCTGATTTTGTCTTAATAAGTTTTTGTTAAAATTTACAAATACTTGATTTCTTCTACGTGCTTTCTTCTCGATCGACAAAAATGATGTTTTATATATTTGCGCTCACTTATTAGACCAAATCATAACAAAACAATTTACCTGTATATTTTCCATTCAATTTTGTCTGAATTAATACATTACACGAGTATATGCAACGAAAATGTGTTGCTTTCTTGCTTGTATTGGGTAACTTGTAGAATGCTAGGTAATTATATACAAGATAATCCAACCGTCATTGCTAAAAACATATTTGATTAGTTCTTCTTATGTTTACATTGTTTCGTTTAGATGATACTGTTTGATGAAGAAAATATAGATAATTGAACGCAAGTCTTAGAATATACAAATGGCTAAGTTATTGAGGACATCGTCATCTAACGATTATCACAATTTAAAATGGCCTTTAATCATTTTCAGTATAGCAACGACCGTTTTGGTAGGGCTAATTTTCGCCGGTTATCTATCAAACGAATGGTTTACATATGAACTTGTAAATACGGACAATCAAACATATGAACGAACACTGGAATATGGCAGTCTTGGATTATGGCATTTATGTACTGGACATGTTTATATGCCTATGAATTGTGATACATGGACAAAAGCTACCCGACCGACTTATTTCAATATTGTGCTGGTACTATTTGCCTGCGCATTATTAGTAACAAACTTAACGTTGTTTCCGGCGTATGCCGCAGCTATATTGATTGCCTATAATTCTCATAATTACTATGTTCGCTATATTGGCCTTTTCATTTACATCCTTATAGTATTGGCGTTTACATTCACTGTATTACTTGTTACCGCAACGATATTTGCTAGTGTAACGCAATTTTATTCCCCAGGAAGATTTGTTGTCGAAACAAAATATTTATTTTTTCATCGAAGTACCGGTATATATTTAGCCGAAGCGGCTACAATATTATCTATTACGCTTTTAATATTGATCATTATAACCATCATATGGCGAAAATACATCGAAATGCAACGATTAGAGGCTGAAAAAGCATTGTTGAGACAAATATTCGATGAGAACTATCGACCAGGATGGTATAAAATCAAATCCGGGTCAGGATTTACAGCACCGATAGCAACGTCTGAGACACCGCCCCCGTATGAGTCATTGAAAAAACAAAATATCAGTAACATCAATAATTGATTCTAATTTTTGTATATAGCTCTTGTTTAACAGAAATATTTGAGTCAATAAAACAAATATGGAGATAAGCGGTTAAAACTGTTTAATTTCATTCTCTGCTTAAAGCAATTTTTTCATTCTAACTAACATCTTAGCTTTTGGAAATCTTGTTTCGCACTAGAGACGTTTTTAAGTAATTTTATGTAAATGGTAAACATACACAAATGATGATAATAGAATTCTCTTGTCGTACACTTTTCTATTTAAACAAAACTAGAATCAGAAATATTCTCAAACGCTTGTCCAACTGATCCATCAAATTCAGGTTTTGCTATCTCAACTTTTGTCTCATAATCAAACAAACATGATTAAATGTCGAAAGAAAGCAAATGCTAGGTTACAAATGTTTCAGAGTCGAAAGGAGCAACTCACATACAAAGCCGCTACAAACGACAGCTCTACTTATTTGTTCAAGTACAAATATATTACTCGATGACACAGCCTATTATTCACATCTATCAGTCTAACATGTTACGTATTTCATAGAAGAAATATACTATTTATTATATGAGACGACCTTCTTCCCATGTACTAAAAATCGCATAAAATCGGCAATTAATCGTGCGCTTAATCGCGATTAATTGCCGATTTTTTGGTGATTTTAGCGATTAATTGATGATTTTTTTCTTGGTAATAAATTAGAACCCACCTTAGGAAATACATATTTTTTCTGTTTTTTCATTGTCTATATTATGTATAATGACATGTACGTCACCCAGTAAGGGTCTTAGCACCAGGTGAAGTCCGAGCCTTTCCGATGAGTCGATTTTAGGCATTGCCCAGATACCAACTGTTCACTAGGCTCCTCAACTGAAAGTTCTGAGGGATCACCGAGAAGACTTGACAGCTCCGTTTTACTCTAAAATAAAAAGATGATCTAAATAGAAGTGTATTTTTCGTTGAAATCTTGTTTCTTATATACATACTTTACTGCAAAATAAAATGGTGAATAACAATAATCATTCAATCGCTTAAACTCAACAATTAGTTGCAATTATATGTGCGATTTTTGAAAAAAAGAAAAATCATCGGAATCGCCAATTAATCGCAATTAATCTGCGATTTTTCAAGAATCGCGAATAATTGTTAAAAATACCGCGATTTCGTCGACATGGGTTTTATGTATTACCATAATACACTAGATATACAATTATTGTATCCAACTCTAGTGAATGTACTAGAGACCAAGTACTTAGAAAAGTACTTGGGTAAGTAATGTCTAGAGTACCTGAAGTTTTTTGCAAGTAAAAAAGGTACTTATCAAGTAATTTAACAAGTAGAAGCATTAGATAAATACTTTATCAAGTATCTGTTAGGTAACCTGGTAAGTACTTGCGAAATATATGAAAGTGTCCGAAGTTCTTCCAAGTACTTGGTACTTATTAAATCTAGTAATGCTAAACAGGTGCTTAACCAAGTACTTTAGAAAATTTGCAAGCAGCTAAGTACTTAATCTCAAGTACATCCACTGGGGAACATATTGAAAAATACCGAAGTAAATAAATTTTACGCTTCAATGTATGATTTAAGCAGGACGTTATTCCAATACGTCATCTTTTTTTGCTAATAAATCATCTGTTTTTGTCTTTACTTTTCAAAACAAACTTTATATACAGAAAAAGTAGTGAATGGCTCCAAAAACCTAAAAATGAAATGCTACTCGGCGACATCTAGTACAAGTATTTGAAATCATCATTAACAATTTTCTAGCACTCTGAAATATAGAACCATTGCGCAGCAATCTACTCACACTCTTAAATCTTAGCATTAGCATTTTCTCACACGTATGGCGCTTTATTCATTGGACGGTATAAAAGAGACGAGTAACGTTTGGACTCGTTCCGTTAGTTTGCATTGAGAAAAAATCTCATGAACAAATATCAATACTGATAATCTCACAATCTTTACTTAATACTGTTTTCCTAGGAATGTTGTAACTTAGCAAATTCCAAGGCTCCCAGTTGTGTATTTTTCTTATTTTGCAGATACAAATAGCAGATATGTCAGCAATTCCGAACACAACAACAACGGACCAGGTGACAATCTCGCCTCTTCTTGACACAGTTGCTATTATAAATAATACGCTATCAAATTTAACAAATGCGAGTAATGGAACAAAAGAGGCTGCGTTTGTGGCACGTACTGATGGAATGTTGTTATCGTACTCATTTTTATTAACTTCCGCTCTACTATGTGTTTATTTTGGTTCATATCGATCAATTATACG